AGGGTGACACAGGACATGCCTTCCTGAACCCCCCTGTACAGGATCCCCCATTTGGATCCAGAGGAGGATGCTCAGATGCAGGAGCCTACATGGCGGGGGCTACATGTGAGCTAGGTTGCTGCTGGTCACTGGAAGACTGGGAAGCTCCTCTGCTACCAAATGTCAATTCAGCTCCTCACACAGAGGTGTCTAGTTTATGGCAAATGTATGGGGCTATGAAAGGCATCCCATGCTGGAGACCTCAGTCCTTCTAGAGATGCAGCTGTTGGCCAGAATGGCACTCGGCAGCAATATTGAAGCAACTGAATCAGGCTCCAGAGCTCTGCTGACTGTAATGAAAGCCAAGACACCCAGCTCACATGGAGACATTTAAATTCTCTAATAAATGAGCTGAATCCCACCCTCATTGTCGTGTGAAATGTCATGTACTGAGAGTACTATTCACACATATTGACTGTCCTCAATGCCAATGTCTTACTGCCATTGCATCCAACCCTCAGTCCTGCTCTGTAACCCCACCTCTTGACCTGACTTGAGGTCTGCCAAAAACAAGATCACAAGAAGAAAAAGTAAATATTCATTTTTTCTGATGCATCCCAAAAGCAGGTGTGCTTAACAAAGCAACCCATCTACAGGGACCTACAGGGACCTACACAGTACTGAGTGGATGCCAGATGAATACATTTAATGCATGAAGCTGCTAGTTCTAATTTTTTTTTTCTTTTAAGTTACTAAATCAATTTTATTAAAATATGGTTTTACTTTAACCTCTCAGATCTTAAAGAAGAAACAAAGCTTGGCATTTCTGGCTTCACCTTTTTCTTGATCTGTCCAGATAAAGCAATTTTGTATTTAAGAGGACTGTCTCCCCCTCATTTTACTTCTCATATCCAGATCAAAAATAATATCTGTGGGTAGAGTGGGAGAAAGATCTTGGAAGAAGTAAGGAAAAATTTAGACCATTGTGAATTGCTAAAAAATATTGCTTGCAACTAAGTGTTGCATCTCAAACCACTCGCTGGTGCTGGAATTCACATATAGATGCACAATCCTGCTGTGGATGCCATGCTCCAAAGTCTTTGAAATCTTATTAACAGCTGCAGAGTCTGCAAGTGCATGATTCAACTGACAGAGATTCTATACAAGACCTGCCATTGGCTGCAATATTCTCATTTCAATGCTGTCAAAACTGACATGGAGAATTTTGGGGTACTTCCTTAGCATTGTATCATAGCAAATCAAAATACAGTTAAAACAAATAAACAAAAATTCCATTAAAAAAAGGTCAGACTTACCACAGAGAGGGCATTAGCAAGAGCTGCTCCAGAGTAGGCACAAAATAATGCTGAGAAAAGAAGACCAAAGACATCTCAAGATGAGGAAAATCTTGCTCATCTCTCCAAAGAAATTATCAGAAACAGTAATATTGTCCAAATGCACAGTAAAGTATCCTGCCAGCTACCTGATGTGAGGCTTAATGTCATAATTCAACAATTAATTAAAATGCCTCAGTGTTCCATCTGGCCATGTGGACTACATTTGGTCCTATCTGCTTTGTAGAGATGGTCGGTGAGTGAAGAATATGGTTTTGTCAAGAGCAAGCAATGGTGGTATTTCTTTTATCTTTAATTTCTTTTTAATTGACAGAATTTGGCCTGTGTGCAGTGAGGGTTACAGTGATCCCCCCATACTCGGTACTGGTGAGGCTGCATCTCAAATCCTATGTTCAGTTGTGGGCCTCTCACTACAAGAAGGACATTGAGGTACTGGAGTGTGTCCAAAGAAGGGCAACAAAGCTGGTGAAGGGTCTGGAGCACAAGTCTGGAGAGGAGCAGCTGAGGGAGCTGGGGTTGTTTGGTCTGGAGAAAAGGAGGCTGAGGGGAGACCTTATCACACTCTACAACTGCCTGAAAGGAGGCTGGAGCCAGGTGGGGGTTGGTCTCTTCTCCCAAGTAACAAGCGATAGGATGTGAGGAAACAGCCTCAAGTTGCGCCAGGGGAGGGTGAGGTTGGATATTAGGAAAAATTTCTTCATCGAAGGTGTTATTAAGCATTGGAACAGGCTGCCCAGGGAAGTGGTTGAGTCCTCATCCCTGGAGATATCTAGAAAATGTGTAGATGTGGCACTTAGCGGCATGGTTTAATGGTGTCCAGTGTCTGTCCTGTGGCTTCAAACCACAAGCAGTTAGCAGTGGCCCTCCTTGCCCCAGGATGTCAGAGGTGGCAAAGCAGGAGATAAGGCACCCAAGGACAAAGCCAAGGAAGGGAAAGCTATGGAGCAATCCAGAAACTCTGCTCAGGACAGAAAACTAATGAAATGCAAATGGTTGCAGGCTGGGTCAGTCTTCACGGGAATTTTATATATGCTACACTGTTCTTAAACTCTTCCCACAGAGTCTGTTTTTGGCTGCTGTTGGGGATGAGTTCTTTGGGTAGCTGGATTTTAAACTGATCTTGTGCAAGAGCTCTCTTCTTATGACACACTTCCTCTAATGATGCATGTAGTTACAAAAAGGCTGCTTCTATGAATCTGTTTAGTTGCTAATTTGTTAACCTTCTGTTCATGGCATAGTTTGTTCTCCTTTCACAAACAGTACTTCCACCCTTTCTAGATGTTTTTACATTATCAGGGCCTAAAGGTGCTTCTCTCTGTGCTTGCAGCTTGCACATCCAAGCTTAACTCCGATGCCACCAGACAAATAGCTCTTGCATAGTACATAGTTTTCCAGCAGAGTGGTACCCCAATCTTGACTCTAAACGTGTACTACTCATAGACTGCCTGGCTGCATAAATTTTTGTCTTCCCTTTATGTAAAAGATACATACCACAGGCAAGTGCCAGCAAATGAGTCTGCCAGGTCAAGGCATAGAACATGCCCCCAATTGCAATGCACGCAAGTGCACAGTTGTAATTGTGTAAGCCAAGGTAGATACTGTCAAATGGTGATGCAATGCTCAGTGCTGCAAGACAAAAGGCAGGACTGTGAGGCAGGTGTGAGAGGTATCTGTAGGAGGACCTGTCACTTGCTGGGAATCCATTGTCCCTTCCTTATGACATCTAGACAACTTTAACCATGCTTACACTTGCATAACATGCACATGCAGAAAAAGGATGAAATCAAATGAAGGTCATTATTTTGGAGCCCTGATAATGTCCCTAGGGTTGGAATTTGGCCCAGTCTCAAATGTTTATTTCAGGCAAAACTTTCTGTATATGCACTGTGTTGTAGTTAGTCCCCCAGATGACCAGGTGGAAGATCCAGCCAGAGAGCAGGAGGACCTTCTCACCTGGGTGTCCTTCTTGCAGAAAGCTGTGCTCACATGTACTATTTAAACCTCATATGTAGCCTGATCTTGAATATCAGAGGCACAGCTGATTGATTGTCTTTTGTGGGAGTAAGCAGGGTTTTCCATCTCGCCCTAGTGACCTTTGCTAGATGTGGTCTAGATACTAGATGTGGTCACTCCATCATTGTTGTGGAAATTCTCCACTGGGCTGGGAGCTGAGGGTCTGCTCCAAACCTGACCTCATAAGTACTTCTGCAGGATTTCTCAGAGGCTTCAGGAGTACGAGTAAAAAGAAGAGCACAATATGTAGTGCACAGGCCACCTTGCTTTCACTCTTAAGATTAATACATTTCCTGCTATAATGTCCTCATTTGTCTTCTGTTTCATCACCATGATTGTCCCCAGATACTTTTTTCTGACCTTTCTCTTCTAGATTAAATGTCAGACCTGTACAAAACTTGCCAAATGCTCTTAACCATACAAATCATGGATAGTGTTGTTTAAAAAAACAAATACAAGGCAGCTCACATCTTGTACAAAGTTCTCGAGAGAACAGAGAACTTATTGTTGGGTGACTGTGCCTTTTCCAAGGCTGTTGTCTCAGATTGCACTTATTCCAACATATTTTCTTATTACTATTGGTCACATAAGTGGCATTAATCTTGTCTAACTTCAAGGGTCAGATTCATTTCTCTTAATTGCTTCTCTGGTTGGTGGAGAGACAGGCAATTTTGAGTAGCATTCATTTAGCTGTTTTCACAAATCTGCAGCAGGATAGAATGAACTGGATCCTAGAAAAGTCTGTTTCTTTTCATTGACTGATCAGCTGTGAGGTAGGCATCTGCATGCGGTGGTAATTTAAAACACTTGTGGTGGCAAGAGATCAGTTCTGAAACTATTTCTCTGGGTTTCTTTATCATCATCTCCATGGGTTTCATTACATCCAATGGCAGGAGGATTAAACAAGGTGAAACAAACCACCCGCCTGAGTTACAAATCTAATAACAAATTCAAAGCTTTAAGAAAATCTGCTTCTGTTCTTGCCTTCACCATGCTGTGTGACCTTCAGTAAGACCTTCCAAATTTAGAGACAAATTCAAAAATAGGAGTGTTGTCCTGAGTTCATCAAAGCCCATGCAACTCTAAAGTCTGGACAGAGTCATATGATGGCCAGCATCAAGATATCCTAGTTAAAAAATGACTTTGGTAAGTGTTTCTTACCTGCAAACATCCCCACTGTTGATCCAATTGCAGCATGTAAACAAATAAGTGGGGAGGAGATAAGTAAAGCAACAAGGAAGATGCCTCCAGTCCAGGGGTTTTCACAACCATACACTTGACCAACACCGACTGGGATGGATTGCAAGAGCTGCAGCAACCAGTAGAAAAGGGCACATTATCGTATCTCTGTACTCAGAAGGACACAGCAGTTATTTTTTCCAAGCTATTGGTGAGAAAGGAAGGAAGCAACCCCAGCTCTGAGTGGGACTGATGGGTAAATGTGCTCCCTCAAGCCCTTAAAACCAGAGTTCTGTTTGGTTTGAACTTCAGCAGTCCAAGATGGACTTTTATTTCTTTTGAGATGGTAATATGGTGGATGGGGGGATGGGAGTTTGGGGTTTGGGAGGGGGTTAGGTGTACTGACAGCACTTAAGACTTGTTTTAAG